CGGCTCGGTTCTGGGAAGCAGTGGGGGAGGGGCACTGGAAAAGGAAGAGGACAGGGAGGGAGGCAGACAAAATGTGCCCATCCTACCCAAGCCTGTCAATTTCCTTTCTTCATCTCTTTATCAGTGTTTGTGACCAAGCTTCTTATCAACAGGAAGCGCCTGCCCACGGGGGCTTGGTGGGGGGGTGGGGGGGTGGGAGGAATGTTGGAGATGGGACCCGGAATTCTGGGGAGTGCTTTGCAGCTGGCCACCCTCGGCATTCCAGGGACCCAGGAATGACCCACAGTCTGTTTGCCAAGATACCTACCTGGTGATTCCTGCAGTTTCTAAGCCAGACTCGCCCGAGGACTTTAGTCCTATGAGGCGAGAATTGTCTTTATCCCTGAATTCCACCAAGCCCTAAACCCTTCCTTCCCAGCTGACTCACTCCCAGACAACTCAGTGCTGGTCACCCCAACTGGCCTTTCCAGTATGTCCACCTCTGTGCTCTTAAAGGAGGCGCCCAATCCAGGCATCCAGCCTAGAAGCTTGGGACAGACATTCTGGTGAAGAACGGGGAAGAGTCCCAGTACTGATAGCCACTACTATAGTTTTTTTTTTTCCCCACCTTTTTCCTACTATGGTTTTTAAAAATATCAATTATGGGGCCAGAGAAACAGAACAGTGGGTAAGGCTCTTGCCTTGCATGGGTTCCTGGCATCACATAGAGTCCCTGAGACCTCCGAAGAGTGACCCTGAGCACAGAGCCAGAAGCAAAGATCTGAGCACGGCTGGGCAAGGCCCAAATCCCCTTATCCCCCTCCAAATGTTTATTACTGGGGAGGTGGCCAGGGGGACTGCTCCAGTGGTCAAGAATGTGCCCAACACCCTGAGTTAGCTCCCTGGAACCCCAGGACCACCCCTCCCCACAGAACCCCCACATACACGGCCTGCAGCTCTACTTGGGGTGGTCCCTGGGAACAAACCAACACAAATTGCGATCATCAGACAGACACCGGTCTCCCAGACAGACGCAGGTCCCTGGGAGAGGAGCGGAAACTCAGATCTCACCCGGGGGCTAAGATCCAATCTTCCGCTGAACAGAAATGCCCAAGAGGGATATCTAGTCCCGGCAAGGCTTCCAGGGTGGCTGAGAGGAACAGGTTTATCGAGACATCTTTCTCCAAACTGGCAGACAACTGATAGGCAGAGATAAAGTGAACAGAGAGTTCGGGAACTGGCTGTTTCGGGAGGAGAGGCGGGAAAGGCTGGGTGCAACTGGGGCCGCCCCCTTGCTGCTCCGGCTCCGGGGCCCCTGCCTCCCTCCAGCCGAGCAGCGTTGGGTGGCAGAAAGGAAGGGGATTCCAAGGCGCCTCCGGCCCTACCCCCGTGTCTCCCTGGACAACCCCCCCTCCCCGCCACGAGCTGCTGCAGCAGGATCTAGGTCAGCGGGAGTGGGTGGGTGAGAGAGAACAAGAGAAGAGACTCATCCAGACGTGACACCCCACGGGGCAGCAATGACAACACTTGAACCTGAAAACGGCTTGAAAATAGACTGTGTCTATGACATTATGCAAATCGTATGCGAAGTCAGAAGCCCTCTGTCTCTATTTCGAGCGAGCGAACTGAATGTGGCCCTGTGGAAGCAGCTCGTTCCAAGAGTCGCCCACCCGGAGAGCTGCTGGCGTGGTGAGCACCAGAGCCTCCCCGGGAGCCTGCACCCCCGCCCCTGGCCCCTGCCGCCGCACCCCTAGGGCTGGCTGGGGCTTGCACCTTTGCCTTGCTTTGCTCGTCCGTTTCGGTCTGGGGGTTGTGTGTGGGGCTTGACCCGGTGGTACCCAGAACACCCACACACCGCCCACCAAGCACATTCCTGGCCCTTCTCACTCTAGCCAGACCCTGTGCCGTGGGCTGGAGAGAGGCCGCGGAGGAGGCCCAGTGATGAAGGCTGACACAGTGCACACGGCTGGGAGGGCAGAGGAGGCTCTTGGGGCCCCCCCACACCCAGGCACCACCTTCCTTCACCCCATGGGCACCCGTACAGACACCCCTCAGGGAGGGCCTCACCCAACACAAGCTCTTGCCTCACTGTGCCCAGGGGTGGGGTGTCCCCCGCAAGGCAGGCAGGGTTCCTGGGCTCTCCCAGAGGCAAGGCCCCCCCAAACCTGGGCTGGCGATGAGACAGAGCTTGTCCCCGATGGTCAGGCCGCTGTCCTCTCATTTCTGCAATCTCCCTGCAGTCCTGGGGGGGCCTTCAGGGTGGAGATGGAAGGATGGGGGTGCAGGCGCAGGGGGCGGTGGAGGTGGTGGGTGAGGACTGCCTGGCCGGATGTTCTAATTCCAGGAAGCGGGAGCGAGGAGCTCTTTGGGCGCAGTTCGCGTGTCTGGTGAGGCCAGGATGCCGGGATTTAGGAGCTGGGGAGGGCCATGGCCTAAGGACTTGGGGTACCATTCCAGCAGCCCTCGCTGGGCCTCTGAGGTGCTAGACTGGGCTCCTTGGCCTTGGTGCTTTCTCGCCTGCTGCTCTCCGGCCTCAGCTTTCTGCAAGCACGGAGGGGCTCTCTGGGCCCCTGGGACCATGTTCTGCTCCCACTCGGAGGCTGAGCACTGCCGCCAGGCAGGGTGGGACCCCCTTCCAGAGGCCACCAAACAGGGCAGCCAGGTCCCAGCAGGCCTGAGGCACTGTGTGAGGCCACAGAAAGGACCTCTCTCTCTCTCTCCGTGTGGGTTTCGGGGGACAATCCCTGCAAAACCAACGCTGCTAGAAGCACACGCAAGGGGGCGCCCCGGGCGGCGAGAGGCCTTGGGGGTCCCCCCTGGCAGCCCTGCCAGGAGGCGGCTGCTACGCAGCATTTTGACCAGCAGAGGGCGGTGTGACCGCCTTGCGCAGTCATCTGGCTGCTCCCGGCCCAGGGTGGGAACCCAGATTTTAGGTCGCAGGGAACCGAGGGGTTCTGAGCGCCAGGCGGGCAGAAACTGTGGCTTGTCGCTTAAGGGCGAAATCGCGGCATGACATTCTGCAGCCCTCTCCCAGTAAGGCTCCGCAGCAGATCCAGGTTCATTGAGGACCTACAGTGAGCCAAGCATGTGCTGACCGCTTCTGCGAGCACTTGGACCTGAGAATCGCTTCCTCCCCGGAGCCAGCGCCCTGCAGCCTCATGCAGGCTGCTCTCCCGGGGGTCTGCTATGCCTGCCACTCCGGCCTCCGCCTCAGCCTTCTCCTCCCCGAGACTGTCCAGTGTGTGTGGGGGGGGGGGGGGGGCCCTGCTGCCTTCCCACGTTTGCCTGGGCCCTCTCCAAAGGAGACAATTGTCCCAAATCCAGTACTTTCTCCAGCAGCAGCTCCGACTCCGGCAGATAGGAGCAGATGTGACAGGCCACGGCACCCGGGCCTGACGATGGGGACCGAAGGACTGCAGTCTCTTTTACCCGGCTTCACTTCCGGGCTGCCTCTTACACAATGCTGGGAATCAGACCTGGGGGGGCTGCAGGAGAGGGCTAAGGGAATGTTCAAGAAACTCCAACTGGCGTCATTTACAGCTAAGGGCTGGAATAGGGTTGAGGGGGGCATTGCCTCCTCCTCTCCCGCAGGACTGGGTGGGGGACCCTCACTCACTCTTGTCCCAAGAGTTGAGAGCCACAGGTCAGGATTTCCAAAGCTTGGGGATGTTCTTTTGCCGAATTGAGCTCCTAGTGGCCCCACCAATCCCCAGGACTTGATCTCCAGCCCACCTCATCCCACCCCACCCCACAGGGGACCCTCTGATCGCTGAATCTACATGTCCGACATTTCCAAACACTCATCCTGCCTGTTTCCACACTAATAGGCTGCAACTAAATTTTTTTGTTTTTTGTTTTTTTTGCTTTTTTTGGGGGTGGTCACACCCGGCAATGCACAGGGGTTACTCCTGGCTCTGCACTCAGAAATCACTCCTAGCAGTGCTCAGGGGACCCTATGGGATGCTGGGAATCGAACCCGGGTCGGCCGCATGCAAGGCAAACGTCCCACCCGTTGTGCTATGGCTCCAGCCCCGCAACTAGATTTCTTCTGAGCCTGAGAGGTCCTGCAAGAAGCCCCCCTCAGTCCTCCTCAACTCTAGGGCGGAGAAGGCCAAGCCACAGAACCGGTTCGTGGCTGGCTTGTGGGCCAGGAATGCCAAGGCCAACTCCTCCTGCAGGCTGGCCCCGGAATGGGCCTGTAGAACGAGACTACCCCTGGCCTCTGACAGAGTTATTTTCAAATCTCCATCTTGAGGCCAGGCGCCAAGGGCTGGGGCATGAGGAACAGAAGAAACGAGGATGACTCAGCTCCAAACCAGGCTGAACTTTCAGACCACTGGAGCTCAGGAGGAGATGAGGGCCAACCTTTCGACACAGGTCCCGGGACTATGAAGGCCGCGTTCTTCTCTCATAAAGCCAACACCCAGGGCCCAGCCCAAGTTTCCACCTCAGTGCTGGCTCCGTGGTCGTCTCTGTCTCCTGTTGTTCTAAGTCTGGCTCTTACCCCTCTCTCCACTGGCCCCAACCCTCCCTCCTCCAGCAGGCCCCTTGGGGTTAGTAGGTCAGTGAGCATGGGGGGACTTGGGTAGGATCAGGTCCCAGCTCTGCCGGACAGCTGGCATTCAGCTAGTAGGACTCTTGTGAGGGAGAGAGAGAGAGAGAGAGAGAGAGAGAGGAGAGAGAAACGGAGCTACGTGAGGAGCCCTGGAGTCTGGAGCCAGGCGCTGAGACAGGCCAGGGCAGGGTGTCTGCAAGGCCTGGCCCCGTGCTGCTGGCCCGGTGGTTCTGGCAGGACCCGGGGACTCTCCCAGGGCAGGGGGTAAAATGCAGACCTGGGCGGGGGCTCAGGACTGGATTCCCGGCCAGGCCCGGCTGGCTCAAGGGCTTCTTCGGCATCTAGCCCTGGGGTTGGTGGGGGCAGGGGACACCGCGGCGGGGTGGGGGTGGGGTGGGGAGGGAGCCCGGCGTCAAGGAGCCTGCAGCAAACCAGACAGTGGAGATCAGGTTTCAGCCCAGCTGTATTTTCGGCTGGAGGGGCCTGGCGAGCTGGGCAGACCCGATGGACTGAGTCACCCCGGAGGGGCAGCCCTCCCCAGCACGCACACTCGCGTCCCCTCGCCACAGACGGGCCCCCAGGTCGCCCAGTTGTTCCCACCCGACGCAGGCAGAGGGGCCCAGGTGCAGGCTCCGGGCTAGTGAATCCCTTTGGGCTTCTGCAGACTGTGGCTGAGCTTCTGCAGGGTCTTCTTGACGCGCAGGGCCGTGAGGCGGGCCGAGGGGTTCGGGTACCAGCACTCCCGCATCATCTGAGCCAGGCCCGACAGCACCTGGGATGGCAGGAAAGGGGCCGGGAAGAGGAAGCAGATGTGGTCAGGAAGCCTGGGGAAGGGAAGACCGGCCGGCAGGCAGGGTGGCCGGCCGGTCACGGAACGCACGCAGGAAGGAGGGAGGAAAGGAGCGCGGAGGCTGGAGAAGAGGGAAGAGGCAAGGCAGGATTGGAGGACGGGAACGTGGCGGTCGGCAAGGATGAGGCAGGAAGAGAGTGGGTGAGAAGGGCTGGACAGGGGGGTGGAGGTCACTCGGGGACCCAGGGCACACAGACCCTTGTCGCGACTGGGAACTGACTTAGCCCTGGGGTGTCCACAGTCTCAGCCTCACTGTCCAGCAATCCCATCCCTCCTCCGGCACAGCCTGGGCCAGGAGACGGTGGGGGGGGGGGGTGTGTGTGAAACGCTGGTGGGCACGGCACTGAGGCTGTGTGTTCAGGGAGGGGCCACCCCAGGAACTCGGGGGTCCTCGCCTTAGCCAGCCCCGCCTCGGCCTCAGATTTTGGTTCTGCCTCCCATTAGGAGACAGGGGGTGAGTGCAGGGAGCTCGGAGCGTTGGGTGAGGGGAGCCCCTGTGTGGCCTGCGCGCTGTGCAGGACAAATGGGCCCAGAGGCACCTATGCACACACCTGGGCGCACACACACCTGTACAGACGTCTGTGCATACATCTGTGGATATGTCCGTGCACCAACCTATGCACACATGCGTATCTGCATCTTTTCACTGCCTGTGCTTTCACGTGCGCACATAACCTTTGCAAACACCTGTGTGGACACCTGTACATACGCCTGTTCACATCCCTGTGTCTAGTCCTGCTCCCACCCCTGTGCGTATACCTGTGTGTACGCCTGTGCGCACGTTGTTCTCCTCACTGTCCTCTGAGCACCTGTGTGCCAGTCCCACAGCCGGCCACCAGGTTCTCAAGGGCAGCACAAGAACGGGATGTACGGACATGTGTGTCCATGGTGACCGGGAATCTGTCCCCGTGCCGCCATACAGGGCACGCCTACATGCTCATCCACACGTCTGTGTACATCTTACATAAATATGTGGAGTGTTTTGAGACCAAAGGGGGGAAAAAAACCAGCAAATAAGCAGCAGCAACAACAACAAGCACAGAATAACAGGAAGTGCAGCGAGGGGGTGAGGGGGGAGGCACAGGGGTCCCTAGGGGCCCCCAGGTCAGGGCCTGGAAAGGACGCTCAGAGAGGCAGCTCAGACTCCATCTGCCAAATCTATCCCAGACGAAGCAAAACCACCTCCCCCGAGTCTTCAATTCCCAGGCCCTGGCCCGCTACTAACCCCCCCCCCCAGCCCCCCGTGGAGGGCTCACCGGGTCTGCAGCCAGCCGGTTGGGGATGGTGGGGGTCTGCTGGTCGACACACACCACCTTCTTCATGTCCTCGAAGCTGGGGTCATTGGGCACGGCGTCATAGAAGGGAGGGCGGTAGTCCTCCACGATGCCTGGGAGGGCCGGAAGGATAAACACTAGGACCCTGAGTGGTGACCAGTCCCCAAAGAAGGCTCAGCTCCCCCAGTGAGGGCCCCTGCATCCAGGGGCTGGGAGACAGAGACCTGCAGGCCACCCCTGAGAGGGCCACAGGCATGTCACAAGCACATCACCAATGATGCATTGCACTGACTGCGTGCCAGGCCTGGGGCAGAAACAACTTCCTGGCATCTCTACCCCTGAGTGTGGCTCTAACTCCATCTGCATCTCACCGTTAGTGCTTGGGGAAAAGCCCAAAGCCAGGCCCCTGGCACAGAGGGCAACGGGAACCGTGAGGCCCGCATGACCCCGCCCGGGCTCCGAGGTGACATCTGCTCCCAGCCTGTCGGCAGCTGCTGCCACCCAGGCCGGGGGCTGTTCCCCAGCCCAGTTCTCACGGTGGCCCCGTACTCCCGGGTGCCAGGCCCTGCTGTGAGTGTGGAGTGCAGAATCTTCACAACTCGAGGACCTCAGAGATACTCGGGGTGCTGCTCCCTGGACAGTGACACGAAGGCCATAGAGGGGAAGAGACGTCGCTGAGATGACTCAGGCTGAGTAAGGACAGAGCCAGAATTTAAGTCCGGAACGTTTGACCAGAGTCTATGCTCACCTCTCAGCTCAGGGTGTGGAATAAGAAGCAGCAAAAGACACCCCGAAAAAAGGGGCTTTCCGGGGCTGGAGCAAGAGCACAGCGGGTAGGGCGTTTGCCTTGCACGTGGCCAACCTGGGTTCGATTCCCAACATCCCATATGGTCCCCTGAGCACCGCCAGGAGTAACTCCTGAGTGCAGAGCCAGGAGTCACCCCTGAGCATCGCCGGGTGTGACCCAAAAAGCAAAAAAAAGGGGGGGCTTTCCGGGGCTGGAGAGATAGCACAGCAGGTAGGGCGTTTGCCTTGACGCGGCCGACCCGGGTTCGATTCCTAGCATCCCATATGGTTCCCTAAACACCGCCAGGGGTAATTCCTGAGTGCAGAGCCAGGAGTAACCCCTGAGCATCGCCGGGTGTGACCCAAAAAGCAAAAAAACGGGGGGGCTTTCCGGGGCTGGAGAGATAGCACAGCAGGTAGGGCGTTTGCCTTGACGCGGTCGACCCGGGTTCGATTCCCAGCTTCCCATATGGTCCCCTAAACACCGCCAGGGGTAATTCCTGAGCACAGAGCCAGGAGTAACTCCTGTGCATTGCCGGGTATGACCCAAAAAGCAAAAAAAAAAAAAAAAAGGGGGGGGGCTTTCCGGTGCTGGAGAGATAGCACAGCGGGTAAGGCGTTTGCCTTGCACGTGGCAGACCTGGGTTCGATTCCCAGTGCAGCGAGGGGGAGGCAGCTCAGACTCCATCTGTGCACTCACCAGTTCGATCCCATATGGTCCCCTGAGCATCGCCAGGAGTAACTTCTGAGTGCAGAGCCAGGAGGAACCCCTGTGCATCACCGGGCGTGACCCAAAAAAAAGCAAAAACAAAAGAAAAGGCGGGGGAGGCTTTCCTCCTGGGTCCAAGTTGCCTCCTTTCCGGGGCCCCCAGAGCAGTCAGCAGCCCTGGCCCACGTCACCCTCCGTGGGTCCTCTGGAAAGGAGGCGCAGGGAGCTGCAAACGGCCAGGCTCAGGAAAAGTGCCCCTGGCCACGGCCAGGCTGTCCGAGCTCCGAGGAGCCTGCGCCAGCTGCTGTCCCGGTGGCGGCCTTCCAGGCCGTCGCTGTGCCGCTCACGCCCTAATCAGCACTGTACAGAGGCCCGAGTGTGTCTAATGGGCCTTTAATCAGGGCCGGGGCTGACACCAGATTACAGTGTTTATAATGCGTCGCAGATCTGTGTGGGGCTGTGCGCTTCCCTCCGCCCCAGGAGTCCGCCCGGCCTTCCTCCAGGCCTGAAGCCTGGCCCGGGGGCTCATGGCTTCCAGGTACCAGACCAACACTGTGTCCCGATGGACGTGGCCTCCAGCCCACCGAGACTGGGAAAAAAAAAATCACTCTGTGTCCCTCTGGAAATCTACCTTCTTTAAGCGAAGAAACAGAAAGTGTCCCCCTACCCCTACTCCAACCCACTCGCAGCCCCTAGGGTTACTACTGCCCGCCTGGATCATTCCAGAACCCCTCAGGGACCCAGGGCCACCCACTTTGGGAAATATTGCTCTAGGACCAATTCCACTAAACGCCACCTGCAGACGGTGCATGACTCTGAGCCTCAGGGCGTCCCCCAGAGGGACAGGGGTGGGGGTGGGGGTGGGGGGCATCACTGAAAGCAAATGAAGCCTTGTCTGGGGCAGGACCTGCTCCCCCCACTTCCGGTGCACAGCGAACACTCTCTGAGGGTTGAGGCTGAGTTCTGAAAACCCCTCCTTGGACAATCTCCACAGGCTGGCAAGACCCTGCACCCCGTCCAGTGACCGCCCACCAGCCACCCACCCCAGGGCTGGACAGGCACCTGCTACAGCCGAGAGGTCCAGCCGCGGCTCTCAGCACTTCCCAGACTGAGTCCTTGTGGCACCCACAGAAACAAGGAGCAAAAAGCAGATAGCACAGGTACCATCGGGTCACGCGTTTTTGTGAACAAGGAACCAACCATCGGGACAAGGACACCGGGCTTCAGTCTCTGACTGCGTCTAGCCACTGTAATCCTGTTCCCCGGTGCTCCTCGTCTGTACCACAGGGATGAAAAGCACTCCAAGGACTGCATTTTTTTTTTTTTTTTTTTTTTTTTTGCTTTTTGGGTCACACCTGGCGATGCACAGAGGTTACTCCTGGCTCTGCACTCAGGAGTTACTCCTGGCGGTGCTCGGGGGACCATATGGGATGCTGGGGATCGAACCCGGGTCGGCCGCGTGCAAGGCAAACGCCCTACCCGCTGTGTTATCTCTCCAGCCCCATCGTATGGGTCATTCTAAGCGGAGCCAAAGGTTCAAACACGGGCACGTAAATCATGCACGCAGACACTGAGCTCCCTCTGGTCCTGCAAGTAGCTGTAATAATGTTTCACGCGAGTGGGCTGGAAAGATAGCTCAAAGGGCCAGATTAAAGTCCCTGGCCCCATCTGTCCCTCGAACTCCACTGAGAAGAGTCTGAGCACCACAAGGCATAGCCCAAGAGCAAAATGAAAGCACAAAAAAGTACACATAATTGGCACTCCTACTTAGTGAACTCTGGAGCATGTGTGACATACTTCCTTGGAGTTTCTTTGCTATGAGAAACCATTCCTTCTTATTTTACAAATAAGTAGTGAAGTGAGGCAGAGAGAGGTTAGGTCATCACGGGCAGCGTAGAGTCAGGAACCAAACCTAGCTAGTCAGTGTCTCAGTCCCAGGCCCGACTCTGATCGACTAAATGATACCACATCCTGCCAACACAGGGCGCTTCAAGAAAGTCACGTTATGTATAGGGGCTAAGAGATAAAATAAGGGTTATGATGCTTGTCGTGTTTACGGATGACCCTGGTTCAGCTCCTGGCATGTATATGGTCACCTAAGCCCCATTGGGAGTAGAGAGCTGGTAGTGACCCTTGAGCACAGAACTGGAGTAGCCCCAGGCCACCAAGGTATGACGCCACAATCCCTCTCCCCAAAAAATATATGTATATAGTACGACATCTAGAACATTCTCGTTGGGTTGGGTTTTGAACCACACCCAGCCCATGCTCAGGCCTACTCCTTAGCTTACTCCTTGCATTGAGGTCATTCCTGGTGTGCTCAGGAGACCATCTGGTACCAGGGATTGAACTCGGGCCTCCCACATGCGAATCATACGCTCCAATCTGCTGAGCTAGCCCTCCAGGCCTGGCACATTTTTAAATTCAAGTGCTAGCTGCCACTCATATGCGTGTGGGGGGTTGGAGTGATAGCACAGCAGGGAGGGCGTTTGCCTTGCACGTGGCTGACCCGGGTTCGATTCCCAACATCCCATATGGTCCCCTGAGCACCGCCAGGAGTCATTCCTGAGTGCAGAGCCAGGAATGACCCTTGTGCACCACCAGGTGTGACCCAAAAAGCAAATAAATAAATAAATAAATAAAATAATATGCGTGTGGTCATTTATCCAAGATTTCTAGAATCACAGATTCGGATGAACCTTAAAAATGTCACTCAGCTGAACTCAGCTGGTAATTGATCATTAAAAGAGACCAACAGGTCAGACCACCAGCTTCTCAGCCCATGACACAAGCAGTGGCAGGAAATTCCCGTTCCCCATCCTTACACACAGCCACCGGCCCCGTCCTCTTCCCCAACCCTCTGCAGAGTGAGTCCTCACCGTTGACAATGGTCCGCCGGGCGATCTCCCATAGCACCAGGCCAAAGGCCCAGATGTCGGTCCACTTGTAGGACTCAAAGCAGTCAGTGCGGATCTGCTCGTCCAGCACCTCAGGGGCCATGTACCGCTTGGTGCCCACTCGAGGGTTGTTGCCGATGTCCAGGTAATCGCTACTCTGCGAGTGCATCACAGCCAGGCCTGTGGACACCAGGCCTGTCACGTCTGCCCACAGACAGATGGGGAGGTGGGGGTCCAAGGCTGGGGTTTAGAGTGGGACAGAGAGTGGGCAGGCCTTCCTTGGGGACAGCTGTGGGGCAGCTGCTGGCCTGACACTGGGACTGGAAAGCACCTTCTTCTTCCCGAGAGCCCTGCGACCCGTGAGTGGGCAGGGCCAGCCCTCACAGACCAGACCCCAAGTTCTGGTGAGGCGGGGACATGTGCTCTGAGACAGCTTAGATGAGGACCCAGGCTGTCTCTGCTTCTTCCAAGGGGCTGGTGCCATCGGAGGAGTTGGGGGCTTGAAAAGGGGTGCTGATACAACTCATGCGGTGAAGTACGTTTGAAAGCAAGTCTCTAGGGACTGGAGCAATAGCACAGTGGGTAGGGCGTTTGCCTGGCACACGGCCGACTCAGGTTCGAGTCCCAGCATCCCATATGGTCCCCCGAGCACCACCAGGAGTGATTCCTGAGTGTATGAACCAGGAGTAACTCCTGTGCTTTGCCGGGTGTGACCAAAAAAGCAAAAAAAAAAAAAAAAAGAGGGGCTGGAGTGATAGCACAGCTGGTAGGGCGTTTGCCTTGCACATAGAACCGACCCGAGTTTGATTCCCAGCATCCCATATGGTCCCCTGAGGGGCTGGAGCAATAGCACAGCGGGTAGGGCGTTTGCCTTGCACGCGGCCGACCCAGGATCGATTCCCAGCATCCCATATGGTCCCCTGAGCACCGCCAGGAGTAACTCCTGAGTGCAGAGCCAGGAGTAACCCCTGTGCATCACCGGGTGTGACCCAAAAAGCAAAAAAACAAAACAAAACAAAAAAAAACCCCAAAAACATATGGTCCCCTGAGCACAGCTAGGGGTAATTCCTGAATGCAGAGCCAGGAGTAATCCCTGTGCATCCCGGGTGTGACCCCAAAAAAGCAAAAAAAAATTTAAAAATTAAAAGAAAAAGAAAGCAAGTCTCTACAGCAGTCTGCAGGCACCCAAAGTCAGAGAACCAAGGACAAGTGCGCTGGAACTCCCGCCCCTAACTCCAGAAGATGCGCCCAGGCCACGCCCACCGGCCAATGAGAACGGCCCGCGCCCACCCTCCGGCCAAACAGCCTCGGGTCCGCCCTTCAGTCCCCGCCCACTGCGAAGGACACGCCCCCTGTGCCACCCGGGGATCCCGCCGGCACCTGCCTCTACCCCGCGCCGCTCACCCAAGTCGGCGATGCAACACTGCAGGTTGCTCTTGACCAGGACGTTGCGGCTCTTGAGGTCGCGGTGGGCGATCGCTGGCTTGCCCTGGGTACCAAAGATCTCCACGTGCAGGTGCGCCAGGCCGCAGGCCGCGGACACCGCCAGCCTCAGGGCCAGCTGGGGCTCCAGCGTCTGCCTTTGCAGAAAGTCGTAGAGGGATCCGTGCTCGTGGTAGTGCGTGATGAGCCAAAGCTGCGTGCTGGAGTTGCGGGAGGTCATGTCCGAGGCGATGAAGCCTGGGGACAGCGGGGTCCGTGGGCTCGGACAAAGGGCTTGGAATCAGGGGGGGTTGAACTGACTTGGGAACGGGGTGCGGCCAGACAGCAGACTGGGCCAGGGACAGCGGCTCAGGATGAGGGTCAGTAGGGCTTAATCGGAGAGAGAGCGGGGAGGAAGGGGCCCCGGGGGCTGGTGGGGCGCCCCTCAGGATGAGTCGCTCTGGATTGACCCCAGAGACCAGGGATCCAGCCCTGGTATCACACAGCCCTCTCCCTCAGCCCTTTGTGCTTGCCTAGGATGTTGTCGTGTCTCAGCAACACCGTGTTGTAGATCTCTGTCTCCCGGAACCAGGACTGCTCATCCCTCGAGGAGAAGATCTTGACGGCCACACTCTCGCCGTGCCAGAGCCCACGCCACACCTCCCCGTAGCGGCCCTTGCCTGATCCAGGGACAGAGCGGAGGGTCACACCCAAGCCAGGACACAGATCCCCCCCAGGAGAACTCCCTATCTTTTTTTTTTTTTTTTTTGCTTTTTTGGGTCACACCCGGCAATGCACAGGAGTTACTCCTGGTTCATACACTCAGGAATCACTCCTGGCGGTGCTCGGGGGACCATATGGGATGCCCGGGTCGGCCATGTGCAAGGCAAACGCCCTCCCTGCTGTGCTATCGCTCCAGCCCCTCTGTCTCTCTTTTTTTTTTTTTTTAAACTTTTTATTAGTGAAGCACTATGAGGTACAGTGGTAGACTTAAAACTTTTTGTGCTTGGGTTTCAGTTTTACAATGATCAAGTACCCATCCCTCCACCAGTGCCCATTCTCCACCACCACCAATCCCAGTATCTCTCCCACCCCCCATCACCCCCATCCCACCCCACCTCTGTGGCAGGGCATTCCCTTTTGTTCTCTCTCTCCTTTTGGGTATTGTGGTACGCAAAAGAGGCAATGGGTGGCAATCTTGTTTGGTCTATAGTCTACTTTCAGCATGCTTCTTCCATCCTGGGAGGATCCTCCCAACACCCTTTATTTGGTGCTCCCTTCTCTATCTGAGCTGCCTTTTCCCCTAGCGTGAGAGCCCCCCATCTTGACACTGAACCAACCCTCCTGCAGAACCCCCGATGCATCTATGGTAGACCCCAACCCACAGGCGGGCCACCCTCATCAGCTTGTCACTCACCCCAGCTCCTTGTCCATCTCAGACCCACGCCCTGCCCAGCCCTGTCCGCAAGTGACCCCAGAAGCCCTTTCTAGTTCCGGGGGACCCTGGGGCCCTGCTCCCCGGGGCTCAGCACAGCTCACCCACACATTCCACCAAGGCCACCTGCCGTGCCACTGTCCTCTGCACCAGGAAGGGGAGCCCCGAGCCACTGCCCGTGGTGCAGTCACTGTCCAGGAGATCCTGTGGGGACCCGGAAGCACTGAGAGGTGTCCCCACCCATCCCAGCCCCTTCTCCCTCTGCGGCCCGGGCCCCACACACAGAGAAGCCTCACACACGTGGCTCCCAACCCGGCCACTGTGTGCCCTTCTCAGCTGTCCCATCACCCGCATCCCCCGCTCCGGTCCTGTGGCCTCTGTCCCTCCCCACCTCCCCCCCGTGTCCGATCTCCCCCAGACCCATACCCCCAGCATGCTGTCCCCCTGCTCGGAGATCTTCAGGATGAGGCTGGACTCGCCCAACTCGCTGAGCAGGCCCCGCTGTTTCTCCTGCCTCCGCCGGATGTGCCACAGGCCCAGGGCACCCAGAGTCACCAACACCAACAAGGCCAGCACAGGGCCCAGGATCAGAGGCAGCTGGCCGTCAACCTCCTGGGGATCTGGAGTCTCGGTCGCTGAGGGAGACGAAGGGCGCTGGACCCAACCCCCACACACCCCCTGCCAGGGCTGGTCAGTTCCAGGGGCCTTCCTGGCCGGCCTGGGGAGAGCGGCAGGGACGGGTGCAGGGTGGGAGCCCCAGACTTACCCTCGAGCACCAGGGACACGTTGTGGTTGCAGAGGGGGCTGTAGCAGCAGTAGTGGTTGACGAACTGGGTGGGGCGGCCCCTGCACAGCTCCTGGTGCTGGTTGCCGCAGCCCCGGTGCTCCTGGGGCCGTCCGCCCTCCTCTCGCACCAGGATCACCGTGCACCAGGACCCCTGGCAGGTCGGCCCCCTGCAATGCGGGTTCTCACATGTGCATGTCACCATCTGGCCCCGAGAGGGCCTCGCTGGGTTGCCTGGGAGACATGCTGGGAGCTCAGCCGCTTTGTTTTGGGTTGGGGACCACACTCAGCGGTGCTCAGGGGTTAGTCCTGGTGGGCTTGGGGGACCAGACGGGATGCTGGGGATCAAAGCCAGGTCGCACCCTCCCCACTGCTATGAGTCCACCCCACAGTCCCTCCCCTCGAGCAGGCGGCCCAAGGTCTTGCCACGCAGCGCCATCCCTAAATCACCCTTCCCCAAGAGCCTTCCCCTCCCCCGCCCCCACGGAGACAGCTGAGACCCAGGCTGTCCCCTCCTGGAGAAGCCTCCCCCTCGGCCCTCAGTCCCGGCTCCGGATCTGAACCCACGGGCTGTCCCAGCTGTCCTACCGTGTCCTCCCTCTCTCTCTCCTCCTTCCCCCATCCCAGACAAGAGGACAGCACAGGAGGCTCGGGGGACAGCCCGGAGCTTGGTCTGGCTGAGCCAGAGTCCCACTCCCCTAGCAAGAGCTGAGCCCCGACGGCCCTCTCTGCACCCTGTGCCACCTGTGTCCGGTACTCACCCCTGCTCAGCCCCAAAGCCGTCAGCAGCAGCAGGAGGCCTCTCCGGGGGGGCTCCGAGCTCATGGTCCTGAGGGGGCAGGAGAGGGTGCGAGAGGTCTGTGGGATGCGATTTCCGTGCGGTTGTGCGGTTTCAGTCACTGCCCATGGGTCCCTTTCACCCAGAGGAAATCACTGGGACTTTTTTTTGGGGGGGGGGGCAGGGAGGCCTCCTCCCCACTCCGTGTCTGTCCTTGGGGCGGGGCCTGCAGGGGAAGTCCTGCTTCACTTCCCCAATGGAAACCGTCCTGTTAGGGTCAAGGGTGGGGAGCCAGGTTCGAGTGACCAAGAGCTTGGCCTCCCAAGCTCCCTGCAGTGGCCTCAAACTCGGGGCGCCCAGGACCTGGGGCTGGGGTGGACTGAGGCCTCAGCCCTCCTGCCCTCCACCCCTGTTTGCTGTCTGCCTCCTCCTGCCCCTTTCCGCCCAGCCTGCAGCCTGCCCACCCCTTGTCTCAGTGCCCGCCTGCCCCACCCCCAAACCCTGGCGGCCTCAAACATAAACAGGCTCCTGTCTGCACTTCCTGCCATTCAGGGTCCCGCCACGCTGGGAACAGGAATCAAGATTGTTTAGATTGGGGTCCAGATAGGACAGGCGGGAGTCACGCACAGCGGGTGCTTGGGACAGAGTCTCAGGGCAGGGGGTGGTGATGAGCACCGGAGGAGTCACCGGGGGCACCCATGGGACGAATTCTAGGGAGGCCCCTTGCGAATCGCAGAACTCCTTCTTTGAGGCAAGGTGGAGTTGACAGCTCAGGCGGTGGACGAGCCGGGTCCACTGTCAGGCAGGACTCAGTGGCAGTGCCTGGGGACATCTCCAGCCCTGAGCCAGGAGAGAGCCAGAGGGCGGGAGCAGGGGTCCGACGGGCTCAGGATCCTGATCCCATCACCCACACCAGGTGGCATTCCCACCACCTCTGGGCCCCAAAACACAAATAAACAAGGCTGAAGAGAAAGCTCAGAAGGACGGGACTGCACACTGTGATGATGCAGGTGGCCCGGGATTCAATCTCCAGGACTGCGTGGGTCCCCTGGGCAGCCCCCGTTGGAGGTCAATACCCCTCAGAACGAGTGAGGACCAAGCTAGCAACACACACCAGACTCTCGGAGCAGTGCTCCTTCTCCTCCAGCCCGGGCAGCCCAGTGGAAGCTGCCCCTTGGGGCCATTGTCCGGCCCTTCTTTCTCTTGGTAGCCCTGGGAAATGGCAGGGTGGGGCTATGCCCTGGGAAGGGAAGTGAAACTCGCTTAGATTGAATGTTTGACCTCCCAGGACCGGCGACGACGTGAAGGGTCATCACTCTGATCTATGCGTATCCACCCGAGCCAATCAGTGCTTCGAGACAGAGGGCTCGGGCCACAGCAAGGAGGACTCTCCGAGGGTGGCATCGGCTGGGGCGTGCCCGGGCCCAGCTATCCGGGCAGGGGTGGCTGGCACGAGGAAGGAGGGAGATGCTACGCTCACAGTCCAGGGATGGTTCCCACGAAGTCCACGATGGTGCCGCTGAGGGCAGGATGGCGGGGGGCAGGGAGTGAGGGTGTTCCATGGGCCTCTCGGGGGGTGGCAGCTCTGGCCTTCCTGCCTGGGCTTCCTCTGCCCCAGAGGCCCGGGGCCGGGGGAGGAAACAGGCCGGCAGCTGGAGCTGTGTCATAGCCTCCGCCCACCTCCTGCTCCTGCAGGCCAGCGCTGGGCAGTCGAACTGGCCCAGACCCTCCCCAGGAGTCTCAGGGCCGCGGGATTTGCCCTCTGGGGTGGGAACAGGAAAGTCACCCGAAGCAGCTCTCGCTTGCTCAAAGCGCCACGAAGACGGTTGGGCAAGAGGGGACAAGCGGGTGACAACGGGGAGGAGATCCTATGGCCTTCTGGCACCCCTGAGCTGGGTAAGGTGTAGGGCTCGTCTCGCACCTGTCTGACATCAGAATTCCCTAAAAGTAAAGTAAAGTAAAGGCCCTCCCGTTGTTCATCGATTTCCTCGAGCGGGCCCAGTAATGTCTCCATTGGAGACTTTGTTGTTACTGTGTCTGGCATATCGAATACTCTCGGTAGCTTGCCGGGCTCTCCGAGAGGGGCGGAGGAATCGAACTCGGGTCGGCCATGTTGGCTGTGTGCAAGGCAAACGCCCTACCGCTGTGCTATCGCTCCAGCCGCTGAAGCACACATTCTAGGACTGCGGGTAGGGCGCTTGCCTCGCAGGCGGCTGACCCAGGTTTGATGCCCCCCCCCCCAGCACCCCATATGAGTTTCAGCAGGAGGGATCCCTGGGCCAGGAGTTAGCCCTGACAGCCAGATGGGACCGCAAAACAAAGAAACAACAAAAGAAATACACATTCTAGGGCCCATACAAGGAGCTGAGGGTGCACATCCGGCACTCAGCAGCATGTGATTCGCTGAGCACCGCTGGGAGCAACGACTGAGCTCTGACCTGGGAGTGCTCCCTCCGCCCCCACTCCCCAAGCCTTCCAGCACCACAACGAAGGATGCTCCAAAAACGGAAAGAAAGCCAAAGGGGGTGGGGGTGGGGAGTCGCACTCTCTTTGCTCTCACTCCCAGTCCAGATTTTGATTCCATCCATCTGGGACTGGCAAGAAATATGTCTAAGTTTCCCCCCAGATGATCCCGGTCAGTCTGTGTGGGTGGGAAGCAGATTTTGAGAAATGTCCCAAGCGCTTTTCATTTCACTGGCTTGGTGGGTGGGGGTGGGGTGGCAGAGGCCAGGATTCTCACTCCACCCTCGCACACCCCATTCTATCGGAGGAGCAGAGACACATGAATGAATGAAACGCCAAAGCTAGGAACTTGGAAAACTAGGGGGTGAGTTTGATCTGGACGCCTCCAGCCCCGAGGACTACGCAGAACCCCCCTCTCTGGTCTGGTCCTGCGAACATAGTGGAGTAAACTTACAGCTCTGGATTTTCAGGGGGCCCAGAATAAGGTTCAGTCTAGGACGGAGCAGAGTCCTGGTCAACCTCGGCTCAGAGGTGACCCCGCATGATTCGTCCTGAAACCCAGCTCTGGCACAAACAGACTCCCATCACTGGTGGGACCCTTTCACGTCTAAGAAAAACTCTGGATGACCACCTGCTGCTGCCGGAAGCATCCCTGTTGCTGGCCAGAGATCACAAATGAATCTCAACAAATTTCAAATATTAACTGAGAAGTCGTGAGTGGCAGGAGTGAGCCTCCTGAGGGCTCAGCAGGAACAAACGGATGATCTCACGTATCCTTACAGAAGCCAAGGGGGCAACCGAGACCCGGCTGTTAACTTTCCTGCCTTTCATCACTCCCAAGTCTTGCTCAACTTGAATCGCTGGCACTGCATTCTTGCTTGGTCATTTTTGTTTGCTATTCTCTGCTTGGTCCTCGGGGGTCACTCCTTGCCATACTCGGAGGTCCCTGGAATTACAACAGGGACTGACAGTTTCCTGGAATCACAGCGGCGTTCTGGATGCAAAGCATGTGTTCAGCCCTTTGAGTGATCTCCCCAGTCCTGTCTGGCCATTTTATTTCCCCAAGCGTGTGGTGTTTGATGAGCTCCTTGAAGGAGGAAAAGAAAGTGGACCCGAGAGAGGGGCCAAGCTGCCGATCTCACCAACGAGCCCTGACATGGGTTGGTTTCAATGCAGCGGCAAATTCCATCTGTTTGCTGGTCTCAAGTGGGGCACTAACATAACAACATGCTTGAGAGGTGCTTCCCCGGACAATGAGAAATCTTACTTCCCGAACTAGCAGCGGCCACAACACCGGCGTTGGTGGCAGTGCTCACGGGCGGAGGGGGCCTACGTTGACGTCCCACCTCAAAAGCCCAGCATCTGGGGGCTGGAGAGATAGGACAGTGGGTGGGTAGGGGGGTTGGTCCCTAGCATCCCGTGTGGATTCCCGGGCACCTCCAGGAGTGCTTCCTGAGCACCGAGGCAGGCGTAACCAACCCCTCAGCATTACTGGGTGCCCCCCCACCAAAAAAAGAAGCAAACAAACCAATATCAGAGCAGCTGTCCCCGAGCGGCCTGAGCACGGTCCTCCCTGCACTGACCCTTCACAGAGGGGCTGCTGCATCCCATCTCCACAGGGTCTCTGATTCCAGAGCCTGTGTGGGACAGCACAGGCTCAAACCCTGTTTTCCAGAGCTGGGACAGGCCCAGGGGCTTTTCCTCGCTGAGGGTTCCGCTTCCCTCTGTCCCACAGAGTTGAGAATGGTCTTCTGGGTCTTCATGGGTCTAATGAGTATTTGGCAAAGGGCTAAGGAGTGCACGAAGCCCTGTCCCAAAGTTACCAACACCCCAATATGCCCTTTTCACCACTGTGTCCAGTCTGAATTGCAGAATGGATACAATCCTTCTTCTGACAGCCTGTGGCCAGAATGAAGAAATAATATTGTTTTCGGGGCTGGAGCGATAGCACAGTGGGTAGGGCGTTTGCCTTGCACGTGGCTGACCCGCGTTCGGTTCCCAGCATCCCATATGGTCCCCTGAGCACCGCCAGGGGTAATTCCTGAGTGCACGAGCCAGGAGGAACCCCTGTGCATCGCCGGGTGTGACCCAAAAAGAAAAAAAAAATAATACTGTTTTCAGGGTCTGCGTCGTAAGTGCTAGATACATGGTGGCTATTTTGACCACCTGCTGAGATCAGGGAACAGGTCCAGGGCCAGAGGGACGGTGCAGCCGCTAAGACGCTTGCCCTGCACGCGGCAGACTCGGGTTCGATCCCATGCCTGGTGCTACCAGCCCTGCCAGGAGGGATCCCTGAGCCCAGAGCCAGGAGTGAGCCCTGTGAGGACCACCGGGTCTGCAGCCCCCTCGCAAAAAGAAGAGCAGGTAGAAATCGTGCCGCGAGAGATCAGATTGACAGCCAGAAGCTGCCCCTGCGGGCGGGGGAGACTACTGTCCAGGGTGTCCCCAGCAAAGCGGGGCTGGGCGCCCCGCCGGCGCGGGGGTCCGGGACACACCGAGAGCCCGGGGACCCCCAAGAAGGACCCTTCCAAAGGGCTCCCTGCCATCCAGCGACGCCCCGTCCCTCCCGCGGACCTCGACTCACCTCTGGGCCAGGTCTGCGGGCGCGG